ATTTTTGTATTTTTAGTAGAGATGGGGTTTCACCACATTAGCAAGGCTGGTCTTGAACTCCTGACCTCAGGTGATCTGCCCACCTCAGCCTCCCAGAGTGCCAGGATTCTAGGCGAAAGTGCCGGGATTCCTGGCGAAAGTGCTGGGATTCCAGGCGGAAGGGAACAATTTCTGCTCTAGAAACCACTTCAGGTCCAGTGGGGCCTTCCCAGGATGCCGTGGGGCTGGCCCCCACGGCAGGGTTGGAGGGGACAGGGTGGGTGGGTCACCAGCTCTGGCACTGAATTCTTGTCTGCAGAATCTGAAATGGAAAAACAGAGATGGCGTCAAGCCAGGCCACAGAGCGGGAGGCTCAGGCCCGTTGCCTCCAGAGAGAGCCGGGTTCCCTTCCCAGCTTTTTTGATACTGGCAGCACCACCTGAACTTCTGTCTCTTCATCTGAGAAACAGGGACATCCACGGTACTTGTGGTCAATAAAAACCCACAACCCCATTTATCCAGCCTGCGTTATTTTCAGGGCACTGGAGCCAGATAGGCCTGGGTTGGAATCCTGTCTCTGCCCGTCACACGCCGTGTGACTAAAAGGCAGATCCCTTGTCTCTCTTTTTTTTTTTTTTTTTTTTGAGATGAAGTCTTGTTCCGTTGTTCTGTTGCCTAGGCTGGAGTGCAGTGGCACAATCTCGGCTCCCACTGCAGCCTCTGCCTCCCAGGTTCAAGCGATTCTCCTGCCTCAGCCTCCAAGTAGCTGGGATTACAGGCGCGCACCACCACGCCTGGCTAATTTTTGTATTTTTGGTAGAGGTGGGGTTTTGCCGTGTTGGCCAGGCTGGTCTTGAACTCCTGACCTCAGGTGATCTGCCCGCCTCAGCCTCCCAAAGTGCCGGGATTATAGGTTGAGCCACCGCGCCCGGCCTGTTCACCTGTCTGAGCCTCAGTTTGGCTCCTCCTGGCCACAGGCATAAAACTTAGCACATGGCGTGTCTTTGTGCCTCTTGAGCTGCAGGTGCGGCCCTCTTAAGCCCCGAAGGTGCCCTTCCTGCGTCTCTGCCCCTTTGCTGAGAAAAAGGTGGGGAAGCTTTGTCCAAAGGAGAGATTCCAAGCATCCGCAAGACATTTTCTGACGGGGAACGCGGTGGGCAGACAGCTCTTCCAGGCTGGCTCGGATCCCAAAGCTGCCTGGAGAAGACGGAGAGGGTGTTTGATCTGCAGGGGTGGGGGTGCTTCCGAGAGGTCGAACCCCTCCAAATCCGAGAGCAGGCAGTGATGTTGGGAGCTCCGTTTTCTCAAGGCTCACCAGACACCGAGAGGAAGTCTGAGGTCCCAGGGAACTGAGGCTGTCCCTTGGCCTTTCTGCTGAGAGCCACACAAGCAGGTATTTCAGCCCAGTGTTCTGGGGACGCCCAGGCTGCGGTGGCATAAGGGACTCCTGACCGGGCCTGCAGTAACCCAAGAAAGCTCCCCAGGGGAGGTGCTGGCCGAGCTGAGGTTGAAGCTGCCAGATGAGAGGAGGAGGAAGGGACCCCGGGAGGAAGGAACAACACAGACAGTGGCTGATTGTAGCACCCGCCCGGTCTTGCTCGCTGGAGTGGAGGGGCAAGGGGTGTGTTCAGGCTCCAGATCAGACAGGCAGCTGGATGCGTCTCTACCCGCAGCCCGCTTCTGCCCTTCCTTCCAGCAGCTCCAGAGGGAGGGATTTTACCAGAAGTAACATTCTTGACCCAGCCACAGT